TCATCCCAGTTGGGTAAAGGTGGCGGAGTAATTTTACATGCCTCTGGGTCTATAATGGCGTTAGAACAGGCGCATAGTTGGCCTGGCGTTCTGGTGGTAGTACCTTGTAATGTATAGATATTTAGCTCATCTGCCACATGTGTAGCGCTCAGGCCTTCACGCTTTTCGGGCGTAATTGTCAGTCGACGTTCTGTCCACTTCTGTAGGGCATCAGTAGTGCCCGGAGAAACATGCTCGCGTAAATGCTGTGCGTGTTTTCCTGTTCCATACATTCGATCTACATGCTCAACAGTCCTGCTTTTCTTAAGGTTGGCTAACTGATTCTTAAGATCAGTGTTTTCAGTAGTTAACTTACTTATGCGCGTTGGCTCAGTGGTCTCGGACGTAGATTCGGGTTTGCCACTTGAGCTTGCCTCCTCTTCTGGTTCCAGTATAGGTACCTTTTGAGAGAGGCAATAGTTGGCCCTCGGGCTCTATCTGTAGGAGTAGTTTCCGTAATCGGAGTGGCTATATCCTTATTCGAGGGATTGTCCTGACTATTATTGTCGGAGATAAGTGCTTCGGCTGCTTCTGCGGCAGCGGTAGCTGCTGTAGCGTTAGCAGCTTCTCTTTCCATTTTTTTACGTTTGGCCTTGCGTTTCTTTGCAAGCGTATTGTCTTTGTTTGTCATAATCTTAACTGATGACTTCAGTCTTATTCTCCTAAGGAATGACTGTGCTTAAGAAAAAATTTCGTGGGAGTTATCTACCTTTACGTTTAGGTAGTCTAAGGAATTAATACCTTTGCTAACTTTAAAAAGTACAAGTTTCGGTCTATCAAGGCGATATTAACGCCTTAGAGTAATTAGACGCTTAGGTTAAGTCTAAGTATAATAAAATTCGAAATAAATTAACCGAAATGAGTCTTTCAGTAAAGTGAAAACAGCAATACTCTGAAGGATTGTGAAGCTGAGACATTGCCTATATAGTCCTCTCAGTACTGTTTTCCCCGAAGGATTTTTTGTTTAGTGTTTCGTTGTTTAATCCGAGAGACTTATCTTTAGAAAAAAAGGAAAAGAAAAAAGAAAAATACTCTTGATGTCCGTAGTTATTGCATTAACCTATAGCTTGCCACTTATCAAGAATTACCAACTTAGCCTTCATCAGACTGGCACATCTGGTTGGCTGAACGGAGGATAAACTAAGCAACGCTAATAGTCCTTAGAAATCTATGTTCGGTTGAGCCATCTCGCTACCGAAGTATTCAGATATAAATAGATTTGGAAAGTAAATATAGTTATATTGACAGAACTAGACCAAATCTTACGTTTGGTATTTTACTGGGGCCTATTAATGGCCTTGTCCAAATATCTGATATGTAAAATGGAAAAGGTATTAATTAATAAAACCGTTAAAAACCATTTAGAAATCTTAAGTTCCTCGTACTATTAAGAGTACGTTTATAGTTTACGTATTGCTTAAGAGTACGTATAGTCTAATGTGGAGGACCGGCTACTACACTGGACGTCACGGGTTCCTCCGTATGCGCATTCTTGAAGGAAGTCTTCGAGCTAGTCACTTCGACCCGCACTCGTTCCAGCAGCAACACCGCACAGCGCCATTTCCTGGACCTAGTGGTACATGAAGGCCTCTCCTCCAAAGAGGCTATCCTCGCAGGCGAATTACCTCAAGGCGAGGATGTATGGATTTTATATACAGGATGGCTGGGTATTCGCGGCCACCAGCCAGATTCAATCGCATCGTATTTATCCGGTGCTCACCGTCTGTGTAAGATGGCGAACGCAAACCTGACGGTACTCCCAAGTTCTAAACATGCATCGCAAGGCTGGCACGGGCATTCATATATTTGTCGATCACGCGCTCATACTTCTCCCCTCTTCGAAAACACAGCAATACAGGCCAGCGTACGTACGGGTCCAACGCCTGCTCGACGAATATACCATAAATGCTTTCAATCGCTATTACATGGGCAAAAGTCACATAACAACAAAACTTGAGTTCTACTATCTGCCAGCAATTTCTCTGCACTTCTGAAAAATAAGAGTTTGACAGCCAACAAGCTACTGGAAGAGTCATATCAGAAATACGACTTGTAAATATGTGTAAAAGATAAAAGTGTACGTACTCTCTGCATTCTTATTATCCAGGGATGATTTCAAACGGCTGTGTCGAATTCATGACTGGAATGGTCGCCAAATAGCACACGCAGTTTGTTTAGGTCGTTTTCGTGAATACTATTAATACAAGATGTCTGAGTAGCACCAGAAGAAATAAAACTTCTGCGATGTCTGAAATTCCAGCTAATATGAGCGATTACGGTGAAAATGTGGAGTATCCCAGAATGCTGCGATTCCACCGCATCATTTTTATATATAAACTATTTACCCAGAAAGTGGTGATACACGGGGAAAATATCGATGCACACGGCGATGCGCTGTACCTTTAAGTAATATAGCCAGTTTAAAAGATGGATAGGACGATATTTCCCAATACTTGTCCAATTTGGGCTTGTAAATATTTCACTCCATGTCCGAAAGCAATTATTATTGAATTGGTATACTAAAGCCATCTCGTCGAGATCTTGATTTTGGCTCATATCTGAGATACATACAGATAAAGTGTGTGGAGAGATGCGGAGGTGGAGAAGTAGGAGGGGTTTTATTTCTTTTATTAAGGCTGAGAAGGGTAGCAACTTTTTTTATTTCTACATACGTTTACACTGAGGAAAAAATTGACTATACAGCAGAAATATAAAACCTCTCCTCTGCCTATATATTTTACAGGGTAAGTTTATTCCTCTGTATTTTGAGTTGTGAAAATCAAACATATGACCTATAATTTTTAATATATTTTTGCGTGTAATCTCCTCGTAGTGGTCCGTGTGCTTTTGATGAAGTCTGATATTACTTCGCGCCGACTTTCCCAAAATGGTTTCTCATCCTCTTCGAATTGAAAGCCGATTTCATTCTTCAGCCACTTGATTATTGTATGCTTATTGATTACCAGCTCAAGAAAAACAAGAGCAGGAAAATATTTGGATCTTTAAACTTGTATCTGTATCTTGCGTCGTTTTTCTTCAGGAAGAATCTGGAAGTCGAGGAGTGAGGACATTTCTAGTCAATTTAATTGACGGCGAAAAGCACCCCCTCATTTCCAATTTCGATACGGTGATTGTTATTGATACGGTTTTTGCTCTAGTGTGGGTCTGTCAAGCAATAACTATTTTGACGATCTCGACGACTCTCTTGGAAAGAGAGGAATTGACACTCCTTACACTCATATCACATTCCCCATTTCGGCAACAACAACAAAAAAAAATTTGATACAATATAAATACGGTCAAACAGTTTTCTGAAGACTATTTTACGAGCAGATTGATAATTAATTATTTAATTTTTATTCAAATATCCACAAACCCAGTGTAAAAATGCAATTGAACCGTGTCTTTCCGCTTGAAAAGTGGGAGAATCGAACAAATGATTTGTACTATCAAACAGAGCAACGTGAAACAGACCTTGGTAGTCCCTATTTTCAACGAATGTTTCAGCATTCCTTTGGGTTCACATCCCAGAGTTGTTGCAATTGTAGAATTTACCACTGATCTTGAGCCAACAGAGTTCTATTATTAATTATCTGATTTAGACAAGAAATCACATTACAGTTCAGGTCTGTTTATACAGCTATAAACAACTGGTGATTGATACCACACTTTCGCTTCACGAATCTCATTCGATACATTCAGGAAAATGAATTATTAGCAGCGTTGCATTTGACAATACTGTATAAATATCCAAGTACTTGTTCGATTGCTGAATTGAATAACCCTATCGTCAGTTTCAGACTGTTTCATGTATTGTACTTACATCAGAAAAGAGACTGAAACAAGGACTGGGTAGCACATATATGACTTGCTGACTCTTTGGGCTTAAAAATAAAACAGTGATCAAGGTTTGCCACGATTGTACTGGGAAATTGTATTTACGTTACTGCTGCTGAGAAAAAGGGTACAGGGGAATTTACACGCTGCATATTATTCGTTTATATTGTATGTTTTTGGGTTCAACGAGCGGTGATATATCATAGAGTCCGGGTTACTCTAGAGAAAAAGTCGTTGCTTCCGCTTCTTAATTTAATCCCTAATTGTCTTTATTTCATATTTCCCATCCGTGTCCGCGTGAAAATTGCGGGTTGGCAGATTTAATAGGCCAGCAATCATTCTTTTATTGTAATCTTTGCTGAAAAGGTCGATTGCTTCTATGTAAATCTTAATCATTTTCGATGGCATCTAAAGTAAAACCTACATCGCAATTGAAGCGAGGATTCATGGCGGCCGCATATCATAACAACCTCTGTATCACACACCACATTTTCTTTTCCAGAAGTGCAAAATTAAGCTGTCGCGCACGCCTTCGTACCATTTCTGCCGTTATATGTACAACTTCGAGTATGTTCGTATTTTTGCAGAAAATCTCAATCCGCCGAATGCATGAATGTGCTCTTGCGAATGCATGAATGTGCTCTTGCGAATGCATGAATGTGCCTTTGATGGAGAATTGATATATCGGTCAAATAGTTGACGAACGGAATTTTGAAGAAGAAGAAAAAATTTCGATGCGACCAGTCCTTTCTATATACGGATTCCTACCTGACGTTTAACTGGAAAGCTCGTTCTTCCAATATGCACGACCAACCATTGATCGCGGTAGCGTATTGTGGTAGGGTGAGATATTTGTGACAGTCTATATGATTATGGGATGCTTGATAGAGCAAAAATTGCACCGCAACTATGCTGCAGTATATTGTGATGTAAGTAGGCCATATTGAATAATAAAGTACGATTCAGTTGAACGCGACATTTAAACAGTGCGCTGTGAAACGGTGGCTCCGTCTCAATGAGTGGGATTAGAGCGTACTATTGTACGCAAAAGAAAACAATCTCAGGGTCATAAATAACACCTCAAACCATAGACTGAAGTGCAGCTCAGGCGCTCCTAATGTTATGTTGTTTTAACTGCTTTATTACCCACATACTAACTGACTTCTGAGAGTGTAGCATTTCTACCGTCGCATACATCCCAAATCTTCTTCAAGTACAAGCTCGGTCGCGAATCGCATCACACACCTTCGACCTATATGTCAACTCACTGGCTACACTTGTATATATATCGAGTGACGTCTCTCATGAGCAACAAAACATTACACAGGTCTCATTACCCGGATTTCACCTACGTCGATACCCCAATCCAATCCTCAAGACTACACTCGTTTCCCACACTTATCGTAAAGAAAATTAAATTTACAGTTTGACTGCTCCGAAATTGGATACCTAAATTGGAGGGTATATCAATCAATAGCTGGCCAAAATTGGCCACTTGGAGCGTTGTCTGCACCACCTTCCAGGTTGCACGGCCGTAGGTAGTATTATAGATCGTATCACACACTCACTGCATGACGACAAAGTCGCTGGCCTGGATACAGCTCGTGTCTGGTGTAGTATATTACCTCGCATATCACTTGTGTAACAAAGTGTGCTTTTAGTAGCGATTGAACATGTCCAGAGACTGCTCCACCGTCTCTCCTTTTTGCAACACCTCAAAGTCTATCTGCACATCGCAATCCGTAGTATAGTTGTACCCGATCACAGGAGGTGCCTGTCGACAGTTGTATCTGTAATTGTGGCAATGTTTCTGATTTAGTCATCCCTTGTGGCATTACATACGACTTGAGGAGAGTGTGCAGCTTGAAAGACATATTAACAGGCGTCGATTCCACAGATAACTGTTAGGTTTTTATCTCGAATTCGGTCGCTGCAGCGTAATCATGTCAGATATCTGATGTTTATATGTGTCCCAATCATACTTTTCCCGCACAGATTACAGCCATTCTGGGTCAGTAAATCATGCACTATATGGACATTGGCCGCTTTTGAAACCACATGTCACAAAATAAACAGGTCAGAGTATAATGAGGGTTTCGTGATTGCTATCACACAATGTGCACGCTATCTACAATGTCCTTTAAATCCACTATGGGATAGTATAGCGACACTCTCTCGTCCTTTACATGTCAGCCAGGAATCATTCTCTGCCTATGCACTTCCTTCAATGAGTGTTGATACACTTAGCTTTCTGGCTTGCCTATATGGACTGGCTGTAATTAAGCTGTGGATTTATACACAGGCGAAATTCACGACAGCACAACACGAGTCGTGGATAGCATGCATTATCGGTGCTTGCTTGGCGTAAAAAATACCAGCGCTAATCAAATTATTTTTCGCTGAGAAAAAAAAAGAGACGAAGGAAAAGTTACCTACCGCACGTTCAAAAATAGACCTGCCAAAAAAAGTAAGCTGTATTCCGCACATTGCAACAGCACTAACAACGCCATCGAGACGTACAAAGGTACAATACATGATAAAGGTACAACACATGTCAAAGGTACAATACGTGATAAAGGTACAATACATGCTAGAGAGTTTGATAATGCTTGTGCTCATGTCTCGTTCGTGTGCACTCCGACAGGACACACCTTGAGTACGACGCCATGTAGTAGCCACCCACATCATGCACCACAACAAAATCGCCTGCGTGTAGCTGTGGCAGCTGCCGTTCGTGGGCAATGATATCCCCCGCAATACAACACGGACCAGCGACGTCTGTGCATACGGATGTCCTGTTAGGCTGTGACTCATCCACGGGAAAGCCTTCGGAATCCAGCACCGATACTCGTAGAGTCCAGATCTATTTATAGCGATGGGCGAAAGGGTATGTACGTGTCTACATGAGTACTTGCATGACGGTAGATATAACGTTAATACGACTGGCGACGTGCACAAAAGTACGGTATATACACTCATGCTCCAGAGTGGCAGGTAGTTCAGATAGACAGACAAGCGCCACAAGGCTGCACCACGCTGTGGCCGAGACCCACTGTTTTTTATTAACCCTTTGAGACTGACAAAGCCACCATCAGAACCAAAGCACAGGCTCAAGTCTTGGTGTACAATCCGACGGTTGATAGCAGCTACGCTTGCTTTGAGTGGGGTACAGCTGTGTATGTCTGCGCGTGTAGCATGAACAGTGCGAATGCCAAGGCGCTGACAAATACAGAACTAGACACCACAGCTGAGCGAACATGGTTAAATAAACCATATACATATACCAATACACGCCGAATACAGCTACGCTTACCTCCGAGTGATACATGAGGTTCTGATAGGCCGGCCCGCTCCATCTTAAGTAGACACAATGCGACTGCCGAGCCACTCGGCATATGTAAAGCCACACACACTGGTGTGACCTGGATTAACCCAAAGCCCAGCACATTCACACCCACGCGCAAGTAAGCACGCATACCTCTGGGTGGTAGATCGTTCGAATACACAGATCCGCCCCACAGTGTTGCGCGGCTATGTGCCGTCCCCCACTGTTCTTCGTATACTCAATGCGACTGCCAAACCACCCGGCTTTCGCAGTCAGACTGCGCCCAAACTCAGTCAGCACGCGCGAGAAGGTGTCGTCGAACAACTGAGGAATCTCTTGCCTGCAGACGGCGTAGTATGGTGGCCAGGTGTGGTGCATGAGTGTATGCTCTGACAGCAGGTGCGTGTGCGACAGGCATTGTTCTCTACTTAGCCACACGATCATCGACGACCATCTACTAATAATGACTGAGAGATCCCTTTCTTACAGACGGCGTAGTATTGTGGCCAGAAGTGATGCATGAGTGTATGCTCTGACAGCAGGTGTGTGTGTAACAGGCATGGTTCTCTACATAGCCACACGATCATCGACGACCATCTACTAAGAATGACTGAGAGATCCCTTACCTACAGACGGCGTAGTATTGTGGCCAGGTGTGATGCATGAGTGTATGTTCTGACAGCAGGTGCGTGTGTAACAGGCATGGTCCTCTACTTAGCCACACGATCATCAAACAACATCTGTCCGTTGCATCTCGTGCGACTAACCTACTCGGGTGAAATAAACTGCGCAGTTGCGGTACAAACTGAAATCCGCGTGTGCGTAGATACGCAGCACACCAACATCCGGAGTACCACACAACAAACAAGTTACTTTGAACTGGCGTCACTGCATACGGCGGACACACTCAAGGGATTGACCAACAAGCATAGAGCAACAAGTAGAAATACCTCAGCAGATCCGCGTAATCCTGAAAGGTCGGTGTTATTGCGTCGCTTCCGAAGTTCACGGATAGGCCTCCTCCAATGTCCACGCATTTAATCTGCACGAGACATAAATGAATAGTATGTGTTATCCCATTTCAAACTACATACACACAACGCACCGGCCGGTGCATTGTCCAGGCAACTGATAAGCTTAGATACGACACAATACAATGATAAAGTGAAGTGCGCATACGGCGCTTGTGAGGCGAGTCAGGTCGTGAATTCCTTGTGAGTTTAGGGTTTTAGGGTGTACTAGGAGCCTTAGAACACTGGCAAGTACACGTACACATTGAGCTTACCTGTCCATTTGTCTGCCTGTTGATAACTATGGCAAAATCCACCACCGCCTTGATGCCGGCTACGGCCAAATGTCCTGCAACGCCCTGAGAGCCCACATGCACGTGTATGGCATTCAACCATGTGTGTGTCTGAGGGAAGTAAACACATGTAAGCAAAGGCAATAAGGCATGTGTAAGCAATGAAACAGGATACGAGCAAGAACAGCAAACGAACCACAGGGAAGCAAACGCATGTAAGTAAAGGCAACAAGGCATGTGTAAGCAATGAAACAGGATACGAACACAACACCAAATGAACCACAGGGAAGCAAACACATGTAAGCAAAGGCAACAAGGCATGTGTAAGCAATGAAACAGGATACGAACAAGAACAGCAAACGAACTACAGGGAAGCAAAAACATATAAGCAAAGGCAACAAGGCATGTGTAAGCAATGAAACAGGATACGAACAAGAACAGCAAACGAACTACAGGGAAGCAAAAACATATAAGCAAAGGCAACAAGGCATGTGTAAGCAATGAAACAGGATACGAACAAGAACAGCAAACGAACCACTGGGAAGCAAATGGAACGAGGCGCGTATGAGAATAGTGATCGTAGCATGCGCAAGTGAAGTGAGACATAACGTTCGGAAGCGGCGAGTGAGACCCTACAGAACTAACGTCTGTTCTGTGGTCTGCAGCAGACAAACAGAAACGAATACAACATCAACGCTACTATCACTCGCAGATGCGCCTATGAGAAAGCCTGGCACTGTAAGCTACTTGCGCCCTGCACGCGTGCACAAGACGATTGAACCGCATATATCACACTACAGAAACCTATCGAATACTCGTTTATGGGCCGACTGATTGGTACACGGGGTAACTGTCGAGTATCCGCTCATATCTAGTGGTGGAATTTTAAACGCAGCTGTACCTATGCATACGCTTGTTGTCGCAATAATGCTGAGTGCACATTTTAAGCGACGTCACGTATAAATACATGAACATATGCATTTGTGCATCTGATACCTCACACACATGTCATACGTACTTTATATATACCGCCTGTACTGCGTTGTGTGTACCTAGTAGAGGTATGCGAACACATGTTGATGCGTTGGTGGCAAAAAGAGCCATGCAGCCAAGGTCACGCAACTTCAAGTCTACACGCGCACAGACAATTACACACACACACACACACAAACACACATGATCACATACATACATACCTACATACATTTGATAAAACGTATGCTGCTCTAGTAAATCGTCATGAGTAACTAACAGTGACACTACAAGCTTGGGTGGCTATTGTTCCTGTGTCGGGTGTGACATGAGGGCCATGTAGACCCCACCACACAACCTCGCGATGATACACATGTACACATAGCACACTTACAATCAGAATCGCACATCCACATACTCTATAAGCTGCTATGAGGTCATCACGCATGTCTAGCAGGGGCACGCCGAACTTGGATGTACTTGTAGATGTGCTGTGTGTGGCTATAGAGCCCGCGCCAACCTGTGGGTTGATGCGTACGCCAATATACTGTGTGTGTAACGCTCCGCCGGCTGGAGGGAAAAGGAAAAGGGATAGAAATTAAGGATCAGAATCTCACGTGTTGGGTGTATGTAACGTGTAGAAAATACAGTCCAGATGCAAAGATATGATCCACAAGTATCGAAGGACGATACCAGAGGTAGTGCTAGTAGATGCACATCGAGCCATGGTATAATAAGGTACAAGGTGCACGAAAGTAAAGCTTGCATTAATCTACCGTGTGCTAGATATGGTTCGGCACTTAAAGGTCGATAGACTATTGGTATTTGGGGTTTGGGCTGACATTGCCACTATGAATACACAAAGTGTTGAACAATTCCGATAGGCTGCAGTGCTATTTGGTACTTAATATTTGGTATTTGCCGATAGTGTCTGGTGTATGCCGAAACGGCCTTGCAGAGACGTACCTCTGATGTACACAATATCGATTGATTCAATGGCTGAGATTGGCATCAAACATGTACGAGGTAGACTTTACACAAATCATGAATGAAGGAGGGTTGATGTGAAGGACCTCAGGCTCCCACAGTAGGATGTACATATAAACACCAACACACGCTCTCATACCATCAACCTCAGCGAGACAAGCCCCTCATCCTACGCAAACGAATACGTACGTTGATATCCACACCAGGGTCAGAGGCATAGAACTTCTTGGAACATCCCCACCAGAGCATTCTTGATTTTGACTCGAACATATACAATTCAACACACCAATGACAGCCAGCACATATACAGACAGAAATCAATTGAACTACCCGCAGCACCCCCTCCCCCCACCCCCACGCACGTTCACATACATACAATTAGTGTCCGTTTCTCTTGGCTTGTTTCCCCCTGGGCTTTGCACGGCTTCTGACACTCGCTCTAGTTCCGTCAGGTTGTCGACATTGAGGTGCACTCCACTGGCCATGGCCAATCGGATCTCTTTGCGAGTTTTGACTGGCGAGTCAAAGACTATGTGGCTGGGCTTGGCCACTTTGAGGGCCTAAGAAGTAAAGTTGCCAAACATTCGAATAGGAAAGAGGATGTTAAGACGGCAGATACTCTTTGATAGATACTCTGATTGTAGACGTCGTTATAGTATTTGACGACGTTTCCCGTATCCTCAGGAGCGGATAGAACACGGGTGCGTGTGGTTAAAGACTTCCACGATTGCATTGCGATAGTGTTTATGCGCTTTTGACCTGTGTACATACAGCCATCAAAAAGATATATACGCAATACAAGCACATACTGAACATACAGAAGAAACTGCACGAAGTTTATCCGGGCTTGACTACCTTCAGGACTTGCGCAGAAGATATATCTGAAAGCGAACAGGGGTAGAGACAAACACGCTATGACAGGCTGAACAATAGTCAGATCATATGCTAACACAGAACTCAGTTAAGCGCTCTAAAACTCAGCTAAGCCCCCTAAACTCAGCAAAGCCCCCTAAAACTGAGCTAAGCCAACTAAACCTCTGCTCAGCCCCCTAGAACTCAGTTAAGCCCCCTAAAACTCTGCTTAGCCCCCTCAAACCAAGCTAAGCCCCCTAAAACTCAGTTAAGGCCATTAAAACTCAGATTAGCCCCCTCAAACTCAGTTAAGCCCCCTAACACACTCCTGCTTCTGTATATTTCAGTTTAATTTGCCCATGACCGACAGTGTAAATATAGACATATTATAGAAGCCCGCGTTTGACCATATATGTGCTTGTAGGTAGATTGCATGCAGTTGTTAACATATTATTGCGAGCACAAACGTGACCGATTGAGTGTTGTGTGTCGACGTGAATATATATAGAGGAGTAAGTGAACATGCCAATGCAAAATATCGGGATGTATAACGTCGTCCGGTATCGCCACACCAACAAGGTATATAGACGTATGGTGCATGCCAATGGATGACTGGTTGGATGTGTGTATGTATGTATGTATGAATGTATGTATGTATGTATGTATGTATGTATGTATGCATGTATGTATGTGATGTATGTATGTTTATGTATGTATGTATGTATGTATGTATGTATGTATTTATGTGTTTGTGTATATATGTATGTATGTATTTATGTATGTATGTATGTATGTATGTATGTATGTATGTATGTATGTATGTATGTATGTATGTGTGTATTGACTTGCTCTGTCCACAAGACACCGGTATTCAGCTAGTAGAATCTACCACTTTGTCAAATACCTCATCTATCTACATAAATACCTACATAAATATACCTACACACCTGGGTCAGCTCGCCCAGGGACGCGGTTTCGAATCCGATGCCATTGGCATATGCGATCTGCATTATGCGCAGCGTCGGATTGCTCTTCACAGCAAGAGTGTGCAACACCCGGCCATCTAACGTTTGAGGTCCCGATGAGACTATATCTGTTTATAAGTTTGCATGCGAGGAGGAGGACTTAGTAATGTACGTCAATGTGTATGTGCTTGTGAGTAGATGAATGTTTGCAAAGATATGCGTCCGTGACTGTAGTCGGATGCCCGTATATGGATATTGTACAGTGGCGGCTGCAGGATATCGCAGTCTACATAGCATTCAGCAGGCAATATTTTGTAGTATTGTTCACCGCAAGAGTAGGAGGACCATGGCATCTAATAGTTAGCAGAACGTTTGGATAGAATGAACAATATATATTGATATGTTCTGTTATAATATATA